CCACATTTTGAATGCCCGGAGCCAACTGTAGGCCACTTCGTGCTCTTCGAGTTCCCAGAACTCCATTCCTGGGCATGATTTTGAATGCCCGGAGCCAACTGTAGGCCACTTCGTGTTCTTCGAGTTCCCAGAATTCCATTCCCGGGCCACATTTTGAATGCTGAGGCAGGCTGATGCTGAGGCTGAGGCAGGCTGAGGCTGAGGCAGGCTGAGGCTGAGGCCGAGGCTGAAGGCAGACTGAGGCTGAGGCTGAAGCAGGCTGAGGCTGAGGCTGAGGCAGGCTGAGGCTGAGGCTGAGGCAGGCGCTGGAGCTGAGGCTGAGGCAGCTGATGCAGGCTGAGGCCGAGGCAGGCTGAGGCTGAGGCCTGAGAGCTGAAGGCAGACTGAGGCTGAGGCTGAAGCAGGCTGAGGCTGAGGCTGAGGCAAAGCTGAGGCAGGCTGAGGCTGAGGCTGAGGCAGGCTGAGCTGAGGCTGGACTGCGACTGCCGTTGCCGCTGCGACTGTCATCGCGAATGCGACTACGACTGCGAGAACAGCAGAATTCTACAACTGGATTTTCATCTGAATCTTAAGGGGAATGCTTTCAGATATGCTTCTACACATCGCTGTTAGGTTGCTTTGCCGGGATAATTATTTTGCGATTACTGGAACGCGCTTGTCTAGGAGCGGCGCCCGTGCTTCAGTGGCAAGCGTTGGCTGTCCATGCCCTCGCGGCGCGCGCCTGGCGGGGCACTGCCCTGGGGCATGCACGTGCGGTCTGGTCTGCCCTCCCCGCTAGTGCTCCGAGTGCGCACTTCAAGACGATGTTGGTTTGGCAGGCGATGAAGCGTTTGATGCTCTTCTGTCCTACTCCAAGTTTCTTGATAAGCGTCGGGGGGTCGTCACCCCCGCCTACGGCCCACATCGACCCCCGTCGCGGGCAGCCACCGCGCGCCGAAGGCGCTCCGACCCCCGTCGCAGGACGAGGCGAGGTTGACCCCCGTCGGGGGGGGTACCCCCCCACGCTTACTAAGAGACCCGGAGTATGTCCGACCGTGAAAAGAAGACTGCGGGCAGGACCTGAGCGAGTGCGACCTCGACTGCAGCCGCGGTGCGCGCGGCGCGCCGCAGGGCGCAGGCGCCCCTCCCGGCGTGGGCTCCCGCACTGAGGATGACGCCGCGTGTCAACCTGCGTCCTCCTCCCTCCTCTTCCTCCTCTTCCTCTTCCTCCCTCCCTCTTCCTCCCTCCCTCCCTCCTCCCTCCTCCCTCCCTCCTCCCTCCCTCCTCCCTCCCTGCTCCCTCCCTCCTCTTCCTCCTCTTCCTTCCTCCCTCCCTCCTCCCTCCTCCCTAGTCCTGAAGTATGGGAGTTCGTTGCCCTAGGCCTCTCGATGGGTAGGTTACGGCAGCTAATCCAGCGCAACCCTCGGTAACGAAACAAGAGACGCATCCGAACACAAACAAACATAACAGCTCAGAGCTATATTAGATAAGAGAGTGCAACGTAACACAACATCTCTGGACAGAGCGTAACACAACATACTGTAATAACATATAAGAGAACATACCATACACTAGCGAACAAAAGTGTGTTTGCATAGTCCAGAGTTGTACATTGCTGAATTGAGCAGAAAAGAACTCACAGCGACCTTTGAACGGTGCCGTATCAAACGCGACGTGCGCGCCGCGGTCAGGCTGGCCACAGGAACAAAAAGCGCAGCAACGACCGATTGGACGACGCACCAAACGTGACAGGTGCCACGACGTAAAGCTGGCCCGTCCAGAACAGAACAGTGCGTAATGGAATATTAAGGACTGGAGCAAACATGACCTGAACATCGTTGAAGACTTTGTACTGGAAGCAACAATGACCGATTAACGGCGCCCTATCATACGCAACATGCGAGTTTACGTGAGCCTGGCCACAGGAATCAACAATTTATGGATGGAGCAGAACAGAACCGAACAGAGCGTGATAGAGTATGATGCAGCAGCGACCGAGTAACGGCGTCTCTTCAAATGCAACATGCGCGCCGAGTTCAGGCTGGTGATATTAACAAACAGTGCCAGGCTCGGGACCAAACGCAGAACACTTCGGTGGGTTTCGCTCGAAACAAACTATGTATTCTTGTGGAGTCGGCATTCTTTCAAGCGTTGAGGGTCTCAGCCGCAGGACCCCTTTCTAGTTTTTGTGATTCGGCGATTTCTCGAAGGCGTGCCTGTTTTGCGCCCGCTGTGCTCAACTATGCGAGCTACTGCCCCTTCCTCTGGCTGCTCATCCTCCTCACTCCTCTCTCCCTCCCTCCTTCTCCCTCCTCTTCCTCCCTCCTCTTTGCTCTCCTTCTCTCCTCCCTCCTTCTCCCTCCTCCCTCCTCTCTCCCTCCCTCCTTCTCTCTCCTCCTCCTCCTCCCTCCTCTCTGCTCTCCTTCTCTCCTCCCTCCTTCTCCCTCCTCCCTCCCCTCTCCCTCCCTCCTTCTCCCTCCTCCTCCTCCTCCTCCCTCCTCTCTGCTCTCCTTCTCCCTCCTCTCTCTTTCCCTCCTCCCTCCTCCTCCCTCCTCCCTCCCCCCTCCTCCTCCCGCGGCGGCCCCGGGGCCCCCGAGTCCGCGGGGAGCCTCCGGGGCTTTCGGCGCGCGCCGCAACCGAGCCCCGCACGCGCGCGCGAGCGCCGCCGCCGCCGCCGCGCCCGCCGCGCGCGACCGCGCGCCCCGCCGCCGCCGCGCGCCCGCCGCCCGCCGCGGCCGGCGCGCGCCGCCCGCGCGCCGCGCGCCCGCCGCCCGCCGCGCGCGCCGCAGGCGCCGCCGCCGCCAGGCGCCGCCGCCGCGCTGCGCAGCCCAGCGCGGCGTCCAGCGGCCGAGCCCAGCGCCCGGCCGCGCCCCCCCGCCGCCCCTGCGCCCCGCCCTCGTCCAGCGCCGCAGTTGCCCACCCCCCCCCCCCCTACCGGCGGCGCCCCCGGCGCCTGCCGCCCAGTCAGCGGTGCAGCCCGGGCAGGCGCGCCTGCGTGCGTCGCGCGCGCCGCGCAGGCGGCGCGCCGGGGTCCGCGGCAGGCGTCCGCCGCGCCGCGCCGCCTCGCGGCCGCACGGCAGCCCGCCAGGCTTCGGCGCTGCCCCGGTGCAGCGCGGCAGAGAGGCTCTGCCGCGCGGTCGCCAGGACTTTTGGGCCCCTGGCAGACCAAGTGCGCAGCAGGGCCTGCGCCTCCTTCTCAGGGCGGCCCAGCGTCTCCAGTGCGAAGGCGCGGAGCGCGGGCCTTGCGTCGTGTTTTTCTCTTCGGCCGCCGCGGCCGCGGCACCGTCCCTGGTCGCGCGGCTGCGGCCTGCGCCCGTGCCGGCCCCCCCGCGCGGGGCGTCGGTGACTGTCACGTCGACGCTTACCGCTTGTACCTACGGTAAGTCTCCTCTTAGCGCGCGGCTTCCACGCTGCCGTCCGGGCGGGCGCGGTCCCAGGCGGGCACGTCCTGTTCGGTCTCCGCGCCAGCGGCGCGTCGCTCAGCCAACCAGCCAGCCAGCCAGTCGCGCGCGCCGTCGTGCTTGTCGATGGCCAAGCCGCCCGCGTGGCAGCCAACGGCATGGAAGGGGTTCGCGCGCAGGTCGCAGCCACAGATCGTGCCGTCGCACTTGCGCCGCAAGCAGGTGGGACTGGCCCCCTCGGGCAGTGGCAAGCGCAGCCGGAGGGCGAGCGCTGGTTGCAGGTGAATGTCAGCCAGGAGGTGGTCTTGCCGCGTCGGGGGCGAGGGCGCGGGGCCGAGCCTGGCGGCCTCGCTCGGGAGCAAGGAGGCCAGCAGGCGGGCGCGTCGCTGCTCCTGCGCCGCCTGCTTGCTCGGCCGTGGCTCACGCCTGAGGGCAGGCAGCGGCGAAGGCCGGGAGGCTGGGCTCACCCAGCTCGCCGCGTACCTCCGCCAGGCACGCCTGCCGCGAGTCCACGAACGCGGGCAGACGTCGCTTTTTCAGGCTGTGCAGGCCAAGCCCGCTGCACGCCAGGGTCAGGTGGCCTTGCACGCGGTCGCGGTGAGCGGCTGTCCCAGCGCGCCCTGCGCGTGCTGCATGACTCTGTCGTCGTAGGCGCTGGCGCAGGCTTCTTCGATCAGGTGCGCGCGCGCGTGGTGGAGGGCGGCGCTGCTGGCGAACGTGTGCCGGGGCACAAGCGCGTCCTGCAGCCGAGGGCCGTTCCCGCGCAAGTGTTCCAGCTTCGCCAGGAATTTGCGCAAGTGGCTGGCCGCCGACTTCGGCGCGGCCGCCGTGCCAGAGCTCGTCCGCCTGGGGTCCTGGCCGAGGTCGTCGTCTGCCGCCCCGCCGCAGACGAACGGCAAGCGGCTGCCCGCGCGCCTGAGCTCGGCCACCGCCGCGGCCGCGAGGCTTGGCGGGAGCTGCAGCCCGCGCAGGTTCTACACCTTGGTCTTGTCGGCGTTGAGGCGGAGGCCGCGCGTTACGAGGAGGGCCGGGGCGTCGGCCAGGACCGCGGCGAGTGCTTGCGGCGTGCCGACGACAAACAAGTCATCGAGGCAGGCCACTACCTTGATGCTTGGGTCGTGCTGGAAGGCGGCCACCGCCAGCTTCTTGTAGAGCCTTGCCGTGGCTGTCGCGTAGAAGCGTAGAAAACCGGGGGCAGGGGACAGCCCTGGTCGAGGCCGCATTCCGCTGTCACTCCGCTGCCGCGCCGCCTACGTGGGCGCCGCGCGCGGTGCTCCCGCCGCGCGTGATGCCCCCGCCGCGCCAGGCCGAGGCGAGTCGCGCGAGGGGCGGCAAGCGCCGGGCGACGTCCCGGAACACGACCTCCGTGTCGTTCTCGTTGAAGGCGCTCGCCACGTCGGGTGACAGCACTGCGCTGTTCTGGTCCCTCCCCGCTGATCAGTTCACCAGCTTGTGCATGACCTCCACGCCGTTGCCCCGGCCGACGCCGTGCTGGTACGGTCCCACCGCCTGGGCGATGAGCTCCTTGTGTTTCGTTGTCGCTGCCTTCGCCGCCATGCGGCGGAGCGTTTCTCCGAAGGCGAGGGGCCGTGCCCCGCCGTCTGGTTTTTGGAGCGGGACTATATGCGGCCGCCCAGCAGCGCCTTCGAGGCGGCCAGCGGCGCTGCGCCACGCATGATGACGGCGAGCACCTGCACCAACGCCTCCTTCCCGTCTGTGCTCCCGCGGAGCGTTGCCAAGTGTTCGACGCGGGCCCCCGTGAGGCCCAGCCTGGAGTGCCGCGGCAGCTTGTTCAGGGGCCCAGCGGCCTCCTCCGCAGCGTCGGCCTCCCGAGCTTCCTCCAGGCGCCGCGGCCGAGGCGGCCCTCGCGGGGCTCTGGCCTCCGGGAAGGGGCTGGCCAGGCGGGCGTGCGCCTCCGCCCCGGCGGCGAGCTTCCTCGGGCCGCCCGCAATCGCGGCGGCCCGAGACGCCTCCCCAAGCATGATGAACTCGTGCGCCCGTTTGGTTTGGGCTGCGGCGTCCGGTGGCCGCCCGCCGCCGCCGCCGCTGTCGCCGGGGCGCGCTGTGGCCGCCCAGAGGTCCACCCAGTCACTGGCCCATGCTTGCCAGATTCTGGCGGTGGTCGCTTTCAGGGCGGGGGTGCGGTCGGCGTGCCCGTCGTCGCTGGCAGGAGGGATGGCGAAGGGCGTGCGCGGTGTGAGCAGCAAGCGCGCCCAGGCGGCCTCTCGGGCCGGGTCTGCGGCCACCGCCTTCAGCGCCGCGGCCAACAGCTCGCCAACACCCACGGCGAGGCTGTCGGGGGCGGCCGTCCACGTGGGCACGAGCTCGCGGAGGGCGCCCTGGAGGTCGAAGGTGTCCCGCCACGCCAGGCCCGGAAGGTTTCCGGCCTCGGCGGCGGCCGTGTGCCGGGTTCGGAGTCCCCTGGAGGTGCATCAATCGAGCCAGGCTGCGCCGCGATGGCGTCCACCATGCACGCGAGGACCTCCGAGTGAGCTGTCTCGGGCAGCGCGGCCAGACCCTGTGCCATGCTTGCTGGGATTCCGGGATGCCTCCTGGGATGCAGGCTGGGTGCCGGAAGTTCTGGCCTGGGTTGCCGCGGCTCGCCAGGGCTTGGCGCGGCTCGCCAGCCGCGCCGCCTTGTGAGCGAAACCTTGGCAAGCGTAACACATGGCGACGTGCTTCCGGATGGGCTGCAGCGTCCGTCCACGCGGCCGCCCTGGGCCGGCGTGCGGCGCGCGGCGCGCGGGCGGCAGCGGCGGCAGGCGGTCCACCGGCGGGGCCTGCAGCGCTCCCCGAAGCGGCAGCGGCGCCGGGGTCGCCGCCAAGATGGGCTGCTCCGGAAGGCGCGGCATCGGCCGCCCCCTGCATGCTCTCCACGCCCCTCGCGAGGTCCTCCAGCATCTCGGCCTCCTCGTCCGCGTCGCTCATGGCCCCCCTGGTCGCAGGCCAGCTGGCAATGAGGGTCCATGCACGTCGACCTCCATCACGTCGCTGCACCCGTTGCTTTACCTGCGGCGGCGCCGTCGCCGGCCAGCGCAGCCGCCCAGGCGATGGCCGGAGGCGGTCGCGCGGCCGCCGGCCGGCCAGGGGGGCCCCTTTGCCCTCCGACCTCCCTCGTCCCCCCTCCCCCTGCTCCTCCTCGTCCTCCCTCCTCCTTCCCTCTCCCTCCTCCCTCCCTCCTCCAGCGGCGAGCGAGGGGGGGAAAGTGAGGAGGGGCGGGCCTTCTCAGAAGGCTCGGGAGTCCCCTGGACTTTTGAGAAGTCTCGTAAGCCTTCCCCGAAGACGGAACACAACTTTTCAGAAGGCGGGAGGGCTTCTGAGAAGTCCCGCCGCCTTCTGAGAAGGCCCTCTCCTTCTCACTTCCCCCCTGGCTCGCCGCCAACTCCTCTTCGGCCCAGCTGGGCCAGCTTGGGAGCCTCTTGGGCTCTCTTGAGGCGGTCTTGTGAGCCTCTTGGGCCGTCTTGGGCCATCTTGGGCCGTCGTGGTGTCATCTTGACTGTCTTGGAAGCCGTTTTGTGGGCTTTCTTGCCCGTCTGGAGGTCGAAAAGAGCGCCGGAAAGCAAATTTACAGGGGGAGATCTGAGAGGCACGCGTGGGCCATGGGGGGCAGGAAACATTGAAAGACCATCCCAGACAACAGACAGGCATTCAAACACGTCCACTCCGTGCAGGCACGGTGGTGGATTTTTTCTGCTACGGATTGTGGGCCTGCGTGCAGCAGGCAATATGCCAGCACCACCGCCAGTTTTGTCAAAGACTAATGCAATTTGAGCGCGAGGCGTTCGCGCATGATCCAGGTGATGGTTCAAAGTGCACAGCGGATTGTTTTTTGCAAGGCATGGTTGGGGGGTGTTGGCATTGCGCACAGCAGGCGATATGCTGCCCCCCCGCGGTCAGTGTCAACAACAAATGCAAAGTGATCGCAGGGCGTCCGCGCATGATTCAGATTTTGGTGCGCAGTGCACTTCGTATTGTTTTTTGCAAGGTCTGGCTGGGGGGGTGTTGGCTATGTCGACACCCCCGCCGCCCCTGCCAAACATTCCCCTGAGACGTACACAACCCTTTCTAACATGGGGCGGCTGTATTAAGGACCGCTCAGTACAAACGAACATGATGAAGCACCCGCACTTCGCAGCCCCCCAGTGAGCCGCGAGGTCTCGGCCGGGTCTGCGTACTTCGCCACTCCGCTGGGCTTCTCGGGAGCCCACGAAAGTGGCGACAGCTGCGCACTTCGCAGCCCCAAGGGAGCCGCGAAGTCCCGGCTGGGTCTGCGTACCTCCCCACTCCGCTGGGCCTCCCAGGAGCCCACGAACGTGGCGACAGTCGCGCAACTCGCAGCCCCAAGGGAGCCACGAGGTCTCGACGGGATCCGCGTGACGCCCCACTCCGCTGGACCTCCCCGGAGCTTACGAAAGTGGCGACAGTTGCGCACTTCACAGCCCCCCAGTGAGCCGCGAGGAATAGGCGTGATGTGCGTGACACCCTTCTCCGCTGGACCTCCCAGGAGCCCACGAAAGTAACGACGAGGTCTCGACGGGATCTGCGTGACACCCGACTCCGCTGGACCTCCCAGGAGCTTCCGAAAGTGGCGACGGTTGCGCAGTTCGCAGCCCCCCCAGGAGCCGCGAGGTCTCGACAGGATCCGCGTGACACCCGACTCCGTTGGACCTCCCAGAAGCTTACGAAAGTGGCCACAGATGCGCAGTTCGCAGCCCCAAGGGAGCCGCGAGGTCTCGACGGGATCCGCGTGGCACATCACTCCGCTGGACCTCCCAGGAGCCCACGAACGTGGCGACAGTCGCGCACTTCGCAGCCCCCCTGTGAGCCGAGAGGTCTCGAGGGGATCCGCGTGACGCCCCGCTCCGCTGGACGTCCCAGGAGCCCACGAAAGTGGCGATAGTTGCGCACTTCGCAGCCTCCCAGTGAGCCGCGAGGTCTCGACAGGATCCATGTGACACCCTTCTTCGTTGGACCTTTCAGAAGCTTACGAAATGGCGACGGTGGTTGAGCAGTTCGCAGGCCCCCCATGGAGCCGCGAGGTCTCGATGGGATCCGCGTGACACCCCACTCCGCTGGACCTCCCAGGAGCCCACGAACGTGGCCTGTGTCTGCGAAGCAGTTGACGTCCAAGGCTGCCTGTGCGCGTGCTGGACGAGTGCCAGTGGGGTGGCGTCAGGTTAAACACCTGGCGCCAGTTCACGTTCAAACGTGCCTGGTCCATTGCCGGTGTAGGCGGCGTCAGGTCAGGTGCCCTGGCGTCAGGTTATGAGGTGAGGGCTTGTATCAGAAATATCTCCTTCCCTTTTCTTTGCCTGTCTGCGTGTGTGTGTGTGTGTGTGTGTGTGTGTGTGTGTGTGTGTGTGCTGGAATGTGTATCATATGTCATTGCTTAAGTATTTGTTTGCCTCTTTGTTCGCTTGCTTGTCTCTCTGGCGCGAGGCCTTCCGATCACCGTCGCCCTCGTCCTTGCTGGGCTGAGGCCGCGCGGAGCGTGAAGCGGGTGACGTGCCAACGGCGCGGACTTGCGCGCCGAGCTGAGCGGCAGACGGGCAGACCACGCTCGAAGGCGGGGCCTCCGAGAGTCTGACAGCAAGCCAGCCGCGTGATCGTCGTCGGCACTTCGCAGGGGAGCGGGACATGGGGATGGGAGAGAGGGGGGGAAAGGCAAGCTAGGTGCGCTCGCGCCACATCTGACATCCTTTCCCTCCCTCCCATCCTATCCCATTGCATTGATTTGTTCTCTATCCGCGGACGCGTGTCGTAGTCTGACTGGTGGGACCCGTGGGGCAGGTCGGAACTGTTAACAATTTGACATGTGCAATGTGGGGCCTGTGGAACTTGTGGGACTTTTGTGGCCCGTGGGACCTATGGGACTTATGAGGCAGGTGGGAACTGTGGACCTGCGGGACCTGTGGGGCTTGCGGGACTTGTGGCACTTGCGCGACCTGGGGGACCTATGCGGCCTGTGGAGCCCGTGAGACCTGCGACACCTGTGGGACCTGTGGAAGTTGTGGGACCTGTGGGACTTGCGACACCTGCAGTGGGACCTATGGCACCCGCAGGACCTGTGGGTGGGACCTGTGGAACTTGTGGGACTTGAGAGACCCGCGACACCTGTGGGACTTGTGGGACCTGCGGGACCTGCCGGACCTGTGGGACTTGCGTCGCATGGATCAAGAATAGTGGCCCACGCTGGGGCGAGAGCGCCAGTCTGAACGACGGGGGCAACGTGCCGATCCGAAAATGAGGCCCACGCTGCAGCGAGAGCACCCTTTTTCCAACACCAGAAAACATTCGGATCTCCCTGGTGAACAGCAGTACGCGTAGTGGGAGGAGCCACGCCCTGGACAACTTCAGGTGAGAGAGAACATTTGTATTCATATGGACTCGCTGCAGAGGGGGCGCTGAGAGGAGAGGGGAGAGGGGAGGTGGAGGGGGATCTGGAGGGGGATCTGAAGGGGGAGATGGAGGGGGAGGCGGGGGGAGGATGAGAGGTTGGGAGGGGGGAGGGGGAGCTGGAGGGGAGGCGCGGGGCGGGCGATGAGGCAGAGGGGAGGAGGAGAGGGGGGGGATGCCTGCCCCCGCAGGCCGCCGTCCCTCCCTCCCTCCCTGCCTCCCGTCCTGCTTCCCGCACCGCCCAGTCCGCGGCGAGCAGAGGCGCCTGCGGCTGTCGACTTCTGTTAGCTGCGCTGCGCAGGCGAATGCCTGCGGGCTGCATGTGGTCGGCGGGCGGAACGTCGCCCGCGAAAAGCCGCGGGCGGTGCGCGGGTGCGGCGGAGGCAGACGGGGTGAGGGACACGGAGTGGGGAGGAGACGGCATCGGAAGGATGAGGGGCAGAAGTGGGAGCGTGATGGATGAGGAGGTGGAGGAGGATCTCGAGGAGGAGGATCATCAGGACGATGAGGGTGAGGATGAGGAAGTGAGGAGGAGGAGGAGGAGGAAGAAGAGGAGGAGGAGGAGGAGGAGGAGGAGGAGGAGGAGGAGGAGGAGTAGGAGTAGAAGGAGGAGTAGGAGCAGGAGTAGGAGGAGGACGAGTAAGAGTAGGAATAGGGGTAGGAGTAGGAGGAGGATGAGTAAGAGTAGGAAAAGGAGGAGGAGGAGGAGGAGGTGGAGGTGGAGGTGGATGCGCGACGTTGCTGCTGCCCTAGACCCCGAGCGCGCGCCGTCGTCGTCGTCGTCGTCGTCGTCTTCGTCGTCGTCCTCGTCATCCTCCTCGTTCTTGTCGCCGTCGTTGCCGTCGTTGTCGTCGTCGTCGTCGTCGTCGCCGTATTCGTTGTCGTCGTCGTCTTCGTCGTCGTCGTCGTCTTCGTCGTCGTCGTCGGCGGCGGGCCCAGAGTAGGCCACCACGGGATCACGGACGGCTCCGGGCCCGAGCCAGCGCAGCCT